GGAATGTAGGACAGAGAAATTATAATGTAGACAGGGTAGAGCTCACTGCTGGCCTAGTCACTCAATCCCAAAATAATGACAACTAAGGGATTTTGGAGAGGTTTCTGTCCAAAAGGAAACCAGGCCAGCTTGCACACGCCACAATCCCCCCTGTGGAATGCTGTGACCCATGCGACCTATACGCTGTGGTTTAAGGGTGTGTGTGGAGGGGGAGACCACACTCGCTTGACACACTGACCAAATCTGCTCACGTCAAACATGTGCAGGTCAATAACATTTCCCTTTGACAACAGAAACAGTGCTTGATGAAATTCAGGCTCAGCAATCTTCTAGCGTAGAAACAAATGTCTCTAAACCAAGAAATCAATGTGCTTAACTCTGCACATGCATTACAAAGAGTGCACTTCACTTTACGTCAGCAGAAAAGACAAAGGGGGGAGGAATCAGATAAAAAAGGAGACGGGATCCTGGTAATTTATGATAACTGCTTCCCAAAGGAGCAGTTATGAACTATCTTAAGTGTGCTGGAGAGGTTTGAAACTTCAGCAGTGAGTGCATTTTTGGATGTCAAATTGGCAGTAAAAAAGAATACTTCATCTTTAAAAGACAATCAGCCAAACAGCTTGTTGATGACAATGATTTGTATATAGCCAGCTTTAAATTACTAAAACGATTTTAGACACGGTATGAAAAATTGATTAAAAAGGCGTTTCTTGTTCTGTGACCTTATTTAGCTTTTCAACTTGAATTCACGGTTATCTGATGAGATCATGGTCACATTTGGCCCCCTCTTTTCAGCTTCTTGCGAACACAAAACAAGCAATTGTGCTACGAAAAGAGAGCAACTGTGAAGAGTTTGGAAAAGACTGTAGGTGTCAGTTGGCAGACACACAAACAAGCTCAAACTCATTTGAGAATTGAGTATTTGAAAATTCAGACGACAACGAAACCTTTATTGTTGCAAATTATTGCTTCTGAGACATCCAATAGCTGTCTTATCTTATTATCTTATATCTTTAAAGTCAGGGTGACAAAATTGCTCTTTACCACAACCCCCAACCTACAAGAACCTCCCTTTTGAATCGAATGCATTTTGGGACTGGCCTTACTGCATTACTTAAGCTGCATAGTCCTTTAGTATTCTTACTGACTTCAATTCTAAAAATGTATTAAGCAATCCATACTATATGCAACATATATACAGACAAATGCCCTAAACCTAACCATTCTGTATTGACAGCTGCAGACTGTTGTTCTTCATGATTACCACAACCAGACAAACATACCCTGGCAGCAGAGATTCATGCACAAGACTAATGTTTACAAAGACAGGCGAGGAGGTCTGTTTCAGTCAAACAGACCAGGGCAGACTTTTCCTGGCTATTAGCAAGAGACAAGAGAACAAAGGGTTTCCTACAGCCAGCCCACCAGAGCCAAAGTGCTTTACTGCACTTTGAGAAGGCCATTGGAGAAGGTCCACAGACAGCCTTTTACAAGAAAAGGACTTAATGCACTCATTTAGGGTTTAACTCTAACTTTCTTTCTAGGAAACAAACTATAGAATACAAAAAGGCAGATACAACACCCATTTCCAAAACAAAACGTTGATGCTGTGTAGAATCTAAATGAAAACAGAGTGCAATGATTTCACAAAACTCATAAACCCTTATTTTATTTACAACAGGGCATAGAAAACATATAAACATTTTAAACTAAGACATTTTACAATTTCATTAAAAGAATGTTTTGGGGGTGCATTAATGCCTAAGAAAATGGGACCTTGCATAATTGGAAAGACACACCGGTTCTCAGTCCCCAAACATTTACAGACTTTGAGAAAAATACCAGTTTATAAGATTTGTAAATCACTGGATTTCTTTTTAAATTTACATTTTACACAGCCTCCCAACATTTTTGGAATTGGGTTTGTATTTTACTGCTACAGGATCCTGTAGAAGAGCCTCAGAAGTTTGCCCCATACTGAATTCGGCATTCTGAGGTCATGTTTTTTCCTGCATCTGGTGACTGGATTTCCCCTATTTTCCTATTTCCATGCAGTCGCCTTAAATAAGACCTTTCACTAAACAGGAGCTGAACAGAAAGACATTGACTGAAAGGTCAAACTGGCCTTGCGGAGTTTAATGTTGCAATACAACAACACATAAGACATATTAGAACCATTCTTAATACAAAACATTGAGCTTTTGGGCAACTGCCTGTGCAACTATGAATTAAATCTGTAAAATTATTTTGTAGTCGTTGCAGTGTAACGTACCTGTAGGTCAAAGAATTTGCTGTACCTTCTGTAGATGACATGGGAAGTGGAGTCTGAGTAAGTAACATTGATAAGGTACACCTGCAGAGAAAAGAACAAACAAAAGAAGCCCATTAGGAACAATATCACTTTGTCAGAGACATCATGGCACCGCTTTACCCCTTTCTGACTTTACTTCAAAGGATCATCAAAGGTCAAATAAATTCATTATGTTTCTCTTTGTCAGTCACACATTGGAAAGCCATCAGGGGGTCAATGAGAGGGCCAATAGATTTGAAGCATTGTGTCTCATTAAAAACATGCATATGGAATTACTCTTGTGTATCTAAGTGCAGCCGATTGAATGCAGCTGATTCAAATATTTCACAAGTACAAATATTGAATGCGGCGGTTTAATAAACGCTGTAAGCCTGTTATTTTCTTTGCTGTACATGAATATGAGACTCTCATTAGTTTTCATTTTTGAGTTTTACATTACCAGTGTCACATGAGTCCACCGTTTGAAGGGGAAAAGTTGCTTCCGTTGTGTCAAGTTCTGCCAGTTCTACCACCACAAAAGATAACAAGGAAAGGAAGTGCTGACTCATGCTAAAGCGCAAACAGGAGTATCCTTTCCTTGGCACAAATCGGTCACTTACAAAATACTCCCAAAATAAATGTTTTATTTACCTCAACAATAAAGAGCCCCAAAAACAACTGCGCTCACCCTGAGGTTCGGAAACAGATGGCTACACCTAATACATTTTCATCTAAACCCATGGCGCAGAGTGTTTATAAAAGCATCATTTACACATATGGTGGCAAGCTGCAAGGACATCAGTTACTAGTTTGAAATGAAGTCTTCTGCTTATTACAAAAGAGTTTTCCAACAGCTCGCTAATTAGACACAGACAGCCCAAACTCTCTCATATTAGGCAAAAGCACGGTTCACTTCAGAAGCGGAGGGGTTGCAGAATATTATCAGAATATTAATTTGCCATCTGGAGAAGCTGGGACGGAATTAAACCACTAACCTTGCAATTAACAGATGGGTACTCTAAAGCTTAAGCCACAGCTGCCAAGCTAATATTTGATGTCACTTTTGGTAATTTAAGGTGATCTCTACGCAGTAGTGATATAATGTGTGACACTTTAAATGTCATGTTTCAGTTGTATTTATATTTATATTTATGTTTATTGTTATGTTATGTTATTCTGATTTTTTAAAAATAATAATAATAATAATAATAACAATAATAATATTTTTCTTCTGTTTCATGTATAATTGCTTACACACATGATTTCAGGAGAAATGTATAGCACCTGTGTAGTTTAGGAAAGGGAGCTTACACAAGAAACCACACGTGACACTCACGAACTGAATGCACCATGCTATTTACTGAGGTATTCACACTTTGGCACAATCAGATGGCACACAGACTTGACTCTAGCTAGTTTTGTAATTTTCCATCAGTTTTCAATTGTTTCCAGAGTGGGTTTGTTCATTTCAGCTTAGCTTTGTTTTAATCAGTTTCAGTGTTTTAGCCTTTTTAATCATTATAATAGGGTGTTCTTTGTCAGGAGCTGACAAAGTAATTTGTAAAACCAAATTACAACACAATCACATTTTGTAAAGGCTGTTGACTCACAGTCATGCAGACCTTCCAAGCCTTACTAAACAGATGCATCAAAGCCTCCTCAGGCTTGGTTAACTAATTTGACCAAAGACTAAAACTAAAGACATTTCATGTTTCTTCTTTTTCAACATGGAGGTTGAGTTAACTAGAAAAAACACTGCTTAAACCAGACCACATGCATTGGATATTTGCATTCTTCTTTCCGTGTTTAGCTGAGCTCAGAGCAATTGTGTAATTCTGTTGTTCACACACATTCACGAAGCTGTGAGAGTTTAAATACCTCGATTGGTAGTCACAGCTGATAAGCATGCACTTACTGTAAATGTGTAAGTATCTAGTTATCAGGAGTGTTAATATAGTAAACAGAGGATTTGACATCTCCTCTACCATAAGCACCCTTTGGAAGTATATGTAAACAAGGCTTAGTTGCTATGTACTCTTTGGCACCACTGCTACAACTGCCTGGAAGGAAGTCACACTTGGACAGTTGAGACAAAAGACAAAGGGCTGCTTCTTTCCTCTCTCAATACCGGATAAGCATTCCAGTTGCTTAGCTCATATATAATGAGATTCCCTCTGGGGGACTTCCCAGTCAAACCTCACCTCCGGCTTTAATCCCAAGAGAAAAGGTCTGTGCCCTGTCTTTAGCTGCCTTGGGGACCCTCCCTCAGCAGGAGATGGATGATTCAATTGATCCCAACTCTCAGGTTAATTAATCCAATTGGACCTGATGGGCTAATTGATTTTTTGCTGTCCCACTGAGACATGGTTCAACTGTTATGGCTCAACAGTTTGAGTGAGATAACATTAAGGCCAGAAAGTCCACAGCTTAAAAGCAGCTCTTAGAGGCTATAGTAAAGAATCCTAACAGGCACAGAAGGAGTTTAACATCCTGACACATCCTGACACAATTACATTAGCATGTAAGCATACTAATATTTTTTAAAGGAGCACTTGTATGCAGTTAGTTTTAATGTCAAGTATTTAACTATAAATAAAAGCACAGGAAAAAATGCACATTTTGAGTTTGTGAATGAAAAATCAAGGTCTAGGATTCATCGCTTTTCACAGCCATACTGTCAATACCTAAAATTTCTGGTTATTCAATGCAATTGTATTTATATAGCACAAAATCATACCAAAGGTGATGTGAGGTAAAGACCCTGCAGTAATACAAGGAAAATCTGCAAATTATCCATTTCCAAAAAACATTGTTCTTAACATTATTAAGCATTATGCACTTTTAATTACACCCATATTAATTTTTGCCAAATATGGTCAGTGGACTGGTACTTATATAGTGGCTTTCTACTCAATTTTGGCAAGAGTCACACAATCACACACACATACATTCACACACCTGTGAAGTACTTTAACTAATATTCAAACAGACATTCACACAGTGGACATTCACGGAGTAGTATTTGGGGTTCGGTGTTATTTGTGTGAACTTGGTATTTAAAATATATATAAACAAAGATGTCCTGTAAAGATCACCTTTCAGTGACAAAACAAACATGCTGCACTTGCTGATGATAAGACTGTAATTACATTGTCATCCTAAAATGCAAACATAAAGATGAGTAAGACCTGTCCAGGGTGTACCCCGCCTCTCGCCCTATGACAGCTGGGATAGGCTCCAGCACCCCCCGCGACCCTGAAAAGGATAAGCGGAAGCGAATGGATGGATGGAAAGATGAGTAAGCACTTGGCAACTGTTAAAAAGAGACATGGCAGGCTCGGGGAGGGGCCAATTTTGGGCAAAGGTTTCTTCCTGTTAAAATGAATTCATTCAAATAATCATAATAACTCATAATAATAATAATAATAATTTCACACAACACTTTTATGTACGCCTAGCTGCTTTGCGTAACATATCCATACCACAAACTTT